AAAACATTTTTGAAAAAGAGATGTTGCTTTTCTTCAACATGGCCTCTCTGTGTGTCGACTTTAACTCCCAGAATTCCTCTATTCTATTCTATTCTATTCTATTCTATTCTATTCTATTCTATTCTATTCTATTCTATTCTATTCTATTCTATTCTATTCTACCCTCCCTACCCTACCCTACCCTACCCTACCCTACCCTACCCTACCCTATTCCATGGTTCATGCTGACACCTCTGTTCCAACATATTAATACTTTATAAAGGAGGGTTTCTTATGCAGTTATTCAGCCATTAATCTGTTTTAAGGGTGTCAGCTGACCAGAATCTCGTGGTTTCCTGTCTCCTCTTATGTCTTATCTACAATGACTTGATCAACAGCCAACCTGTTTCCTGCCATTCTTTCCCATACAAAATATTGTTTACAGAGAGGAGAAATATTCAGCACCAATTAGTGCGGGCTGTGGAAGTTAAATGTATTTAAAATTCCAGCACAGATGGGGGTAACTTAAACACTAATTGGGCACACCCAAACCAATTTGGAGCTGAATTCTGCTGTAACAAAATAATGAGTTGACTAGAGTGACCTTATTGTTTATTTAATAGTAACAGAATAACAGAATAACATATTAATAATAATATGAGCCTTGGTAGTACAGTGGTCTAAGGCACCCTGTTATTAAGCTGGTTATTAAGACCAGCTGCCTGCAATTACTGCAGGTTCGAATCTCGCCAAGGCTCAAGGTTGACTCAGCCTTCCATCCTTTCTAAGGTAGGTAAATTGAGGACCCAGTTGTGGGGGCAATAAGCTGACTTTGTATAAATATACAAAAGAATGAAGGCTATTGCTTAGCACATTGTAAGCCACCCTGAGTCTCCGGAGAAGGGCGGCATATAAATCAAATTAAAAAAAAAACAAAAAACAGAAGAGACCTTTTCGAGGTCTTCCAGTCCAACCCCCTGCTCAAGCAGAAAACCCTATACCAGTAATGGCGAATCTTTTCGACATCGAGTGCCAAAAAGGGAGTGCGCGCGTATCCATGTGTCACATGCATGTCTGGGCCGCAACCCGGAAGAGGAGCTTCCCAGGGCGCATGTGCGTGCCCGAAAATGAACCTCTGGTTTCAGCTACTGAACTTCCGGTTTCAGCTACTAAACTTCCGATTTCAGCCAGCTACTCTTCCGGGTTTCTGGCGCATATGCGCATGCGACGATCAGCTGGCCAGCACGCACGCTCATGCAGGAAAACGGAAGACCAGCTCTTCTAGTTTCCAGCACTGCCGCATGAAAAAAGGTCAGCTGATTGTCGCATGCATGCCAGAAGCCCAGAAGAGAAATGGGCAACACCGCATGTGCCAGGCGACATAGTTCCACATGCTACTTCAGGCATGCATGCCAGAGGGGGGTTTCAGCAGGTTCTGACCAGTTCTGGAGAACTGGTAGCGAAAATTTTGAGTAGTACGGAGAACCAGTAGTTTCCATCTATTGCTTCTTGCTTTCCCTCAGGTGCTTTGGAGATCCTTATTCAACTTTGGGAAACACTACAGAGCCAGGTTGGGGGCAGGTTACTGTGAACAAAAACTGTGGGTTACTACTGGTAGGCATGAATGCTGATTTGATGGCACATAATCTAACTGCTAAACATAATCAAAGTGTCAGAGTTCCGACAGATGCCCTAATTAAATCATGAGCCTCGAGCCAAGCTTCAAAAGAAATCCAGTTATTTAGTAGGAGCTTCATGTCGGCAGGTTCCAAGTGAAGCCAACTCTGACCCCACGTAATTTATGCCCCAATCATGACCTTGTTTTTCCCCTCCGCCCAGGGTGTATAATCAATCACATTCACCAACGGAGCAATTTTGCGGGTTGTAGAGATCACTCCCCTCCGGTCGCTGTGGGTAACCCTGGGAGATAGCCTTGAGAGAGATATGTCTGGAATGTGCTTTTGTATTTGGCTGCTGTGCTGCAGGCCAGGGATGCTTTGTGAGTTGACACAAAGCTACTAAAAACTAGAAGGAAATGGAGAATCAACCAACCCAAAAAACCTTATTAACCATAAGGAAAATGGAATTTGGGACACATTCTGCCTTTTCTTGACTGTGTGGTTCTCTTGACTGTGAGAACAATCACTGAAACGGCCCTTCCCTTACATGGCTGTGCTAAAAGTGTACATACTAATAGAGGAGCTATCTATGCTTTTAGCATTGCGGAAGTCCGTAAGGATGTGGTCTATGACAGGGGGAGCTCACAATGCAAGTTCTGTGTTGTCTTATTTATAAATGATACCATCCTTCTGATACTCTCTCATTCCATGCAGAATAAATGGGATGCAAGTCTACACTGTACGTCTTCATGGTTGCAACCAAAAGTTATTTTTTTCCGGAGGATGAACCATGTTAAGGGATTGTAGCATAAACAGTAAAGAATCCTGCGGCAATTCAAAGACTTACGGGGTTATTACGGAGGAAGTTTTATGGATGACAATCTACTCTTTCAGATGCTTAAATGTCACGAAGTAGCTTGTGGTCTCCTAAGAGCTGACTGTCATCGTAACTTTCTTGGTATTTGAGGTGACATTACTTTCTTCTTAATGGTCATATTGAAAATGTACATACTAGCTGGGATTTGAAAGAGTGGGTGCTTCAATGTTTTTCCTTCTTTGAAATATTTTTACATTCATTGATTGCTGAAGGATATATCTTCTAATATATTGGCATAAATTGTGAGAGTTTGCTCTGAAATCCTACAAAAGCGTAAACACCTCATGGATTAAAAAAAAAATAGTATGAATCATAGCAAAGGAAACATTTACAATTCATCCTGCTTTAATATTGTATATCATCAGGTAATCTATAGTATTTCCTCCATTTCATTTCTTTGTACTGATATTTTTATATGTACTGATCCCTAGGCTGTAAAGTTTCGATAAAGCAGATAAAGTTTTATAGATATGTTTAATTAACTTAATCAGAGCAACAATTTTATAGATTTTACCTTCATAATTTACCTATATGTGGAATTTACCTATATATTCCAATAAAGGAGAATATTTGTACCTCAGGGTTGAAATGAGGGATCCTTGGTGCTCTCTGAGCTTGGTTGTTTTCTTGGGTGCTTTTCAGTACCCAAACTAGGTACTAACACTAGCAGTGATTATGTTACCTAGTATGATAATGAAATGTCTGCAAGGAAACAACCAAGCTCAGAAAGCACCAAGGACCCCTTACCTATATACTGGTAGTCCTCAACTTATGACCACAATTGAGCCCAAACTTTCTGTTGTTAAGTGACACATTTGTTAAGTGAGTTTTGCCCCATTTTACGACTTTTCTTGCCACAGTTGTTAAGTGAATCACTTCAGTTGATAAGTTAGTTAACCCGGTTGTTAAATGAACCTGGTTTACCCCTTGACTTTGCTTGTGAGAAGGTTGCAAAAGGGCATCACATCACCTTGGGACACAGCAATGGTCATAAATACAGAAGAGCCTGTAGTACAGTGGACTAAAGCACACTGTTATTAACATCTGCTGCTTGCAATTACTGCAAGTTCAAATCTCACCAGGCTCAAGGTTGACTCAGCCTTCCATCCTTTCAAAGATAGGTGAAATGAGGACCCGGTTTGTGGGGGCAATAAGCTGACTTCGTATAAATATACAAAAGTATGAAGGCTATTGCTTAACGCATTGTAAGCCGCCCTGAGTCTCCGGAGAAGGGCGGCATATAAATTAAAGCAAAAAAAAAAAAAAAGAACCAAATTGCCAAGCATCTGAATTCTGATCACATGATCATGGGGATGCTTGCAAAAATCGCAACTGTGAAAAACGGTATTTTTCAGTGACATAACTTTGATTGGTCACTGAACAAACTGTTGTAAGTCGAGGACTACCTGTATTCATTTTCCCATATGTACGTGTATATTTTGCTGTATTTTTTTCCCTCTTTTTTTGTACTGATTACTGATTGTACTAAACTGTGTTCTGCACAATTTGTTTTCCCCAAAGGTGCTTTTTTCAACTGGACTTTCTGGTTTTTCTTTGAAGAAGAAAAAGCTGAAGAAGCTTCTTGGATGAGAAGCGAAACGTCTTCAAAGAAAAACCAGAAAGTCCAGTTGCCTCTTGAAAAAAGCACCTTTGGGACCAGGGGTGAAATGTAAAATTTGTTACTACCGGTTCGGTGGGCGTGGCTTGGTGTGTGTGTGTGGAGGGGGGTAATGTGACTGGGTGGGCGTGGGCAACTTTTTTTTTTTTTAACTTTTCAAAGCATTTTTTCTAATGCTTTGAAAAGCCTCTGCCGATCAGGCAACTCAGCTGGGATCGTCAGAGAGGCTTTTTAAAAAATACCTCTCTGCCCATCAGGCAACTCAGCTGGGATTGTCAGAGACTTTTCAAAGCATTTTTTTACCACCTCTTCGGCCAAGAGGTTGCAGAAAAAAAATGCTTTGAAAAGCCTCTGATGATCCCAGCTGAGCCGCGCGATCATCAGAGGCTTTTTTTTTTTAACTTTTAAAAGCATTTTTTCGTCGGAAGAGGTTGTAGAAGAAAATGCTTTTAAAAGTAAAAAAAAAGGCCTCTGTTGATGATAGGGGGGCTCAGCGGGGCAGGGGGGGGGGGGGGGGCGAGGGATTTTTGCTACTGGTTCTCCGAACTGCCATCACTACCGGATCATGTGATCTGGTCTGAACCGGGAGCATTTCACCCGTTTGGGACAGTAGTGGGTTTCAAATCCCGGCGCTACCAGTTTGCTATCGGTATAGAGCGTTTTTGATGACGTCTGGGTGGGTGGGTGGAGCCTCCCCCCACCGCCGCTACCAGTTTGCCCAAACTGGGGCGAACCGGGAGCAACCCATCACTGCTTTGGGACAACCATGACCTGGATGACTGAGAATCTCCATAGACAAAGCGTTTGTTCTGTTGTGATAATAGAATCTCACCATATCAATTTGACCTCCTTCCTCCCATGTTTTCTTCTCCTAGAATTGAATATTTCTCTTCTTCTCATCCTGCAGATGAAGACCTTCTTGATATAAACACCTATCACGTAACATCCCTATGATGACCATCATCCAGGAAGGCCAACTCCACTCAAGAAACCCTTGGTTATCCATGTATAGCTTGCTCAAACCCTGCAACAGAATTTAGGTGTTTTTTTTTTTAAAGTTGTGTTTGCTGTGGCTTCTTAGACCTACAAGTGCTGGCCTTGCCAGCGAAGATTTTTGGACTTCTTTTCCTTCTTGGCTGTAAGCCAACAAGATGATCGATCTGAGCTTCCTTACGGATGAAGAGCAGGAGTCAATTCTGAAAGTGTTGCAGCGGGATGCGGACTTAAAGAAGGCCGAAGAGGAGAGAATCAGGTAAGGAAGGGCCTCGAATAATTCCACCCTACAGGCCACTTGTAGAAATTGGCTTGGGTCAAAGGCATGAATGGAGAAGAGATTGCTCAACCGTTACCTTTGTTCAGAGTTGCTGAATTAATCACTCTTTATGAAGAGGGTTTGGTGTTTTTGTTTACTTGCTTGGTTCCAGGCTTTTGAATAGTTAGAACTTTAGGAGCAAAATGCAAATATTTCCCTTTTTAATCACTATGCCTTCCCTGGGGAAGATCATGCATGGAGAGATTAGGATAGTTCACTCTGTTGCAAGGCATTAAAGACCTCAGTTAATTAATTAGTGGAACGACTTGCGGGTGCTCCGTCCCTGGAAGTTTTTAACCAAGAGATAAGACAACTATTTATCTGAAATGGTGCAGTTGGGTCTCCTGCTTGGGCAGGGGTTTTTATTTTATTTTACTTTATTTTATTTTATTTTACTTTATTTTATTTTATTTTATTTTATTTTATTTTATTTTATTATTTTATTTTATTTTATTTTATTATTTTAATTTATTTTATTTTATTAATTATTATATTATTTTATTTTATTTTATTTTATTTTATTTTTTTATTTTATTTTATTTTTTTATTTTATTTTATTTTATTTTATTATTTTATTTATTTTATTATTTATATATTATTTTATTTTATTATTTTATTTTATTTTATTTTATTTTATTTTATTTATTATTTATTTTATTTTATTTTATTTTATTTTATTTTATTTATTTTATTTTATTTTATTTTATCTTATTATTTTATTTTATTTTATTATTTTATTTATTTATAAGTTTGTCAAACATGTACAAGATAGCAGGTATGAATATGAACATGGACATGAATGAAGGAAATGAAAACAAATAAATGGGGACAGTAGGACAGGGATGGTAGGCACACTGGTGCGCTTATGCACGCCCCCTTTACGGACCTCTTGGGATTCACATATTGTAGCAACCGGTTCGCCCAGCATTGGAAATGTGAGCGTGCACTTGCACATGCGTGCAGCATCACAACACATGGCAATTCGCTCACGCCATCCGCACATCCATGCGACATCAAATAACATGGCAATTTGCTCACCCGCGCTGTCCACACATGCATGTGGCATCAAAAACATAGCGATATAGGATAGGATTGCGCCTAGGTGGGTGGGTGGGTCCACCTGCAGGTCGCCAATACCCGTTTGC